GTCTACCCCTAAGTCCAATTCTCTCTCTCTCTCTCTCTATATATATATATATATGTGTGTGTGTGTGTGTGTGTGTGTGTGTGTATTTTTAAAGGCCAACTGATAGTCTGACTTGGAAACCAGCTGGCCTTCCTGTTCCTTTTCTCTACATTTCTAGGAAAGCCCTAGAACAGGGGTCCCCCAACGTGGTGCCCGCGGGCACCACAGTGCCGCCACACACACCCCGACACCATACCCGGTGCCCGCTGAGAGTTCTCAGAAAGTGGGTGTGGCCAGATGGGATTCTTGCCTAGCATGACTTCTGATTGGCCACTGGGGATCTGATTGACTGCGCAAATTAAAATAGTGATAATTTGGTGGTAGTCGCTACCAATGTTGGTTTTATTCTCTCACTCCTCTTTCGCGGTGTATTTTTTTAAACTCTCTCTCTTCACCCCTGCACTTGGGACTTCCTGGTGTGTGTGTGCGTGTGGCTATTTTGTAGTTTCACCCACCACTGTGTCAGAATTCCAGAGGCACACACAGGCTCGAAAAGAAGAAGAAAAGAAGAGACTGGATTTATAACACGCCCTTCACTACCTGAAGGAGACTCAGAGCCAGTGTTCCCTCTAAGCTGAGTGAGTGTGAGCTAGATCACAGTTTTCTAGCCTCTGGCTCACACATTTTTGTCTTCGCTCAGGAAGGAGGGCTCCAGAGCGAACTAATGTATGCAGCATCCAAATTGTTCACTCACAACTTAAATGCCAGTAGCTCACAAAGTAGAATTTTTGCTCACAAGACACCACAGCTTAGAGGGAACATTGCTCAGAGTGGCTTACAATCTCCTTTCCTGTCCCCTCCCCTGTGAGGTAGGTGGGGCTGAGAGAGCTCTTTCGAGAACTGCCCTTGAGAGAACAGCTCAGAGAGAACTTGTGGCTGTCCCAAGGTCACACCAGCAGTGGCATGTGGGGGAATGGAGAATCAAACCCGGCTCTCCCAGATTAGAGTCCACGCTCCCAACGACTACATCGAACTGGCTCAAAAGATTGGGGACTGCTGCCTTAGAACACGAAAGCTGTCCTGCCAGATCGGACTCGTAGTCCACTTAGTCCAGGATCGATTTCCCCACGGCAGCCGACAGCTGCCCCAGAGGGTCAGCAAACCAGGCATAAAGGCCAGGGCCTCCCCAGCTCCTGCCTCCCAGCACTGGCATCTAGAGATTTACTGCTTCTGGACATGGAGGTTCTCTTTAGTCGTCATAGCTAGTAGTCTTGAATCTGCTCAAACCCCTTTTCAAACCAGCGTTGTGGCCGTCACTATACATCCCCACTGACAGTGAACTCCACAATTTAATCTTGCATTGGCTGAACGTCTACTTCCTTCTGTCTATGTTCAGACAGCCCCGCTAACAAAAACAAGCTCTCTCTAAGCTCCAGAAAAGAGAGCCAACTTGGTGTAGTGGTTAAGTGCGTGGACTCTAATCTAGGAGAACCGGGTTTGATTCCCCACTCCTCCACTTGCACCTGCTGGATGACCTTGGGCAAGCCATAGTTCTGTCAGAGCTGTCCTTGAAAGGTCAGTTCGGGAAAGAGCTCTCTCAGCCCCGCCTACCTCACAGCCAGTGTCTGTTGCGGGGAGGGGAAGGGAAAGGAGTTTGTAAGCCGCTCTGAGGCTCTGAGCGAAGGGTGGGGTATAAATCCAGTCTCTTCTTCTTCTTCAAATGGGACCTGACTCGGGCAATGTTCCCTCTAAGCGGTGGAGCCTTGTGAGCAAAAATTCTACTTTGTGAGCTACTGGCATTAAAGTTGTGAGCGAGCAATTTGGCTGCTCCATAAATTAGGCTGCTCTGGAGCCCTCCTTCCCGGGCTAAGACAAAAACGTGTGAGCTGGAGGCTAAAAAACTGTGAGCTAGCTCACACTAACGCAGCTTAGAGGGAACACTGGACGCGGGTCTCTCCAGAGCCTCCCGAGGCGAGCTCCACACCCTGAACTTCTGAGATAACGAAGAAGGCGCAATGCCACTCACCTGTGAGATCCCCCAGCATCTTTGCCAGCAGCCACCGGTCGATGTGCTGGTACGTGATCCCCACCACGTGGCAAATAACTGCAAGAGAGAAGGCAGACAGGCTCGGAACGGCAGCTGCGATGGGGTGTCAGGTCCCCACTTCAGGAAACACCCAGCCGGCTGCTGTCAGTATCTGTGCCAATGAACTGCTTGGTAACTGGTCAAAGGCAGGCAGGCAGGCAGGCCGCGGGGGCATTGGCTGTGGGAAGAGCCTGCCAGCTAAAAGGTGTGATTGGTAAGCCGCAGTTACTGAAGAAATCAAAAACCGGGGGCGGGGGGGGGGGGGGGCCAGGGGACAGGAAAAGAAACCATCATTAAAGTGTCGAATCATTAAAGTTTCGAATTCTCTGCCAAATAATTTTAAGTAAATGAAAGCATTTGGGATTGCTTCCCTTACTTTGTTTGGATCATCTTACGTTAATGTATGAGTTGTTTTTTCTAAAGTAAAACCTCAGTATTCAGGTTAAATTGCCGTGTTGGCACTTTGCGATAAATAAGTGGGTTTTGGGTCGCAGTTTGGGCACTCGGTCTCTAAAAGGTTTGCCAATCACTGCTATAAGGTGAACAAAAAAATAAAAATATTATTTAATGTCGAGTTCACTAACACAATAACCATAAAACTATATAAAGCCAAGGGTAATCTTACAAAACCCAATAGCAGTACAAAAAAAAGTAAAGATCGGTGGTACAAAGAAGTCAAGTCCCCAGAAATTTCAAAGACCCAGTTTTGTTCAGGCACAAGCTCTCCCTCCTCTGCGAGGACAGATCTGCACGTTCCCCCCCCCCCCAATAGATAGCAATCCAAAACCGTCCAGTGGAGCCTGAGTGGTGGATGTTGCCTTCTGACACACTTCCGGTGACATCAGGGGTGTGTGGCATATGCAAATAAGTTATGCTAATGCCTTATGTTAATGAGCTCCTGCACCTCTTTTTCTACGAAATGACCCCTGCTCCTCCCACCCTGAGTTACAGAGTCTGGATTAAGGTCTGCTCGAACCCCAGGGGAAACGACCTTGATCCACAAGGGCAAGAGCATATTTCCCAAGGATCCATTAGTTATGCTAATAGGTTATGCTAATGAGATCCTGCACCTCTTTTTCTACGAAACGACCTTGTCGTGATTTTAGCCAGCGGTCTCTTGTGCAGTGGGTCGCACAGGGGATGCTGGGGCTAAGGAAGAACTCCCTGGTACATTGGTAGATTCCCAACCCTGCTGAGGAAGACCGCTGGCCGGCCAGTTCAGAGACAGGAGGGCAGGAGGGAAAACGATGCACGGCCATCCACCATTCTTGACCGGCACCCTCTTGCTTTCCAGTGCAGGGTGTGGCTTCGGTGATGGATGGGATGGTGGTGGAAAGTGCCGTCAAGTCGCAGCTGATTTATGGCGACCCCACAGGGTTTTGAAGGCAAGAGTCGTTCAGTGGCTTGCCTCTGCCTGCCTCTGTGTCGTGACCCTGGTATTCCTTGGAGGTCTCCCATCCAGATAGTAGCCGGGGGCCGACTTGGCTTAGCTTCCGAGAGCTGACGGGGTCGGGCCAGCCCGGCCTATCCAGGTCGGGACCGAATTAAAAACAACAACACGGGACTTCACGGTTGCCAGGCGGAAGGCGCAACTGCAGACGAAAGCCGCCACACCGCACTTACATTTCCGTACGGAATCTTCAAATCCAGTGATCCCATCCAGGAGATCCATGTTCTCATCCAGCGCTTGCTATTTTATTTTTTTAAAGGAAGAACACAAAACCCATTAAAATCTCAGGCCAAAAGCTCCGGAGAGGCTGCCTCCCGCCGACCCCAGCCTCTAAGCAAGGCTGGAAGAAGCACGGAACTTCGGACACAGAGGGGCCAGCAATGAAAATTAAGAAAATCTCCACACACCCCAAAGAAGCGCTGATATGATATGAACCTCTCTCTAGACTCACGGCCTTCTCGGTGGTGGCACCGTAACTTTCAGAACTTCTTCCCCAGGGAGAGTCATCTATCTCTCTCTATCAGTCTCTTTGGCCAGCAGATGAAGACTTTTTCTATTTCATGCACCATACCCAAATGATGTTTACAGGCCCCCTTTCTAGTGTTTCTTTATGTGTTTTTAAATGAGTTAATGCCTAATTTTACCTTTATTTTTAATTGTTCAGATGTTTCTAACTGGAGAGACAGTTTGGTGTCGTGGTGAAGTGCGTGGACTCTAATCTGGGACAACCGGGTTTGATTCCCCACTCCTCCACTTGCACCTGGCTGGATGACCTTGGGCAAGCCGTAGTTCTGATAAGAGCTGTTCTTGAAAAAGAGCCGTTTCTGTCAGAGCTCTCTCAGCCCCACCTACCTCACAGGGTGTCTGTTGTGGGGAGGGGAAGGGAAAGGGATTGTAAGCCACTCTGAGACTCCTCTGAGAGAGCCAGTTTGGTGTCGTGGTTAAGTGTGCGGACTCTAATCTTGGACAACCAGGTTTGATTCCCCACTCCTCCACTTCCACCTATTGGATGACCTTGGGCAAGCCATAGTTCTGATAAGAGCTGTTCTTGGAAAAAGAGCCGTTTCTGTCAGAGCTCTCTCAGCCCCACCTACCTCCCAGGGTGTCTGTTGTGGGGAGGGGAAGGGAAAGGAGTTTGTAAGCCGCTTTGAGACACCTTTAGGTAGTGAAGGGCGGGGTATAAATCCAATCTCTACGCCACTGCCTTTTCTTCAAAGTTTAAGCGAAGGGAAAAGACTGATACATGGCAAAGAGAAATAAAAGGCTGTAAGTGCTTTTAGGGGATAGGAGAGAAATACACGAACACATGGATCTCACTCATACGACATCAGACCCCGGGTCCGTCAAGGTCCCTACTGTCTATTCAGACGGGCAGTGGCTCTCCAGGGTCTCAGGAAGAGGTCTTTCACGTCACCTGCTGCCAGCCGGATCCACTCTGCCGTGACCCTGCTTCGGGCCCCAATCCAACTGGAGACTCACCCTTAAGTGCCACAAAGATCAATGTTGCCCACAATGAGTTTAAGCCCCACTGACTTCTACCGGACTCCGCGGAGGGGAAGGGGAAAGGTGGGTCCCATGTTTGCCAAAATACACCACAGGACACAGTGAGAGCCAGTCTGGTGTAGTGGTTAAGAGTGGCAGGACTCTAATCTGGAGAGCCGGGTTTGATTCCCCGCTCCTCCTCCACGTGACACCTACTAGGTGGCCTTGGGCCAGTCCCAAGTTCTCTCAAGAGCAGTTTCTGTCAGAGCTCCCTCAGCCCCACCTACCTTACAGGGTGCCTGTTGTGGGTGAGAGGAAGGGAAAGGAGATTGTAAGCGGTTCTGAGACTCCTTTGGGTAGTGAAAGGTTGGGTACAAAACCAACTTTTCTTCTTCTAACTATGACTTATATTCTGCTTTTCTCACTTGAGACTCAAGGGGGACTACCCTTCGTAAATGAATAAAAATCGATCAGACGATACACCCACTAAGCAATCTGTCAGGACTGGGGCTGCGGAAATTTGAAACGATGCTGACGTCTGAAGCGAGAGTATTGAACACGCTCATGGGAGCCTTCCTGACCTCCTCGGGCAGCCCACTCTACACCACGGGGGCCACTACCGAGAAGGCCCTTTTCCTCACAGCTGTTGATCGTGCCTAGGCACAGGGGGTTACCTGCAGAAGGCCCCGGTGAGCAAAGTGGTTCTGGTTGGACACAGGTGGAGAGGCAGTTGGGGCCTGTAACGCCCCTCCACCAGACTTCCCCAAGCAGAAAAACACATCCCTCCCTCAAAGGAAGACGACGACCCCCCCTTCTTGAGATCCAGCCCTTACATTTACTATTCTAGGATTAAAATACCATTGACAGGGCTAAACATTTAAAGCCCTTCGCATATGTTATCTCAGTAAACTTGTAAGCAATGCTCCCTCCAAGCTGTGGAGTCTTGTGAGCAAAAATTCTACTTTGTGAGCTGCTGGCATTAAAGTTGTGAGCGAGCCATTTGGCTGCTGCGTAAATGAGTTTGCTCTGGAGCCCTCCTTCCTGAGCTAAGACAAAAATATGTGAGCTGAGGCTAAAAAACTGTGAGCTGGCTCACACTAACTCAGCTTAGAGGGGACACTGCTCGTAAGGTAAGCCGAGAAGGTCGCTGCGCTGGAGGGAAAGCGTGAGGCTGCGAAGACCCCGGCTTTTCCTAGAGATGTCGTCGAGATCAACGGTGCCCTTTTCGGCTTGTGGCTTGGTCTCCCGGCGGTGGCGCGGCACCAGCTTCCCCCTTCAACAAAGGATACGTGAGCCTGGTCGATCATGCACTTGCAGAGGGTGAAGTCGGTGTGGGGCAGGTTGGTCAAGGCTTTCAACAGGATCTGGGCGGTCACCGTGGTTTGGAAGAAGGCAGGGTTGAACTGATACCTGGACGAGGAAAGAGTCCCTCTTGGGATTTCAGACTGAAAGGGCAGGCCCAGTCCTGTACACCTTTAGTCCCAAACACCCACCACCAGTCCCGGCCACAGCGTCCGCCGCTTTACAGTAAAGCAATGGCTGGCACCCAACAAAACCTCTGCGCAAAGACCCCCCTGTGACGACCTCCTATTGGGGAGGACTGAATTTCACTTTAAATTATACTTTATGTTTATAAAACAGGTAGTTCCAGCTGCCACCAGGAATTTTATTTAATTCCAAATCCCCTTTCTGCTTCTGGTTTTGGTATTGTGACCCAGGGTCTTGGCTTTTGAGGATCTATGTGGTCCTAAGGAATAATGGATCAGGCTTCTGGGATAAACTTAAATAAAAAGGATTTATTGAAAGAACA